ATTAGTACTTTTCAATAATATAGACATATATTATTGTGGCGAGCATTTGGCCCAAGACTATATATATAAAAGACATGTATATATATATAGCAATCAACTGAAGACAAGAAGAAATTAAGAAGATTCAACATTAACGATTCAAACAAGATTTAACAATCTGCCATGTTAATTAACGCCAGTGCTGCAGTGCTGCAGTGCTGCAGTGCCGCCGTGTTTACATTAAAAGGCCTGCAGGGACAGGCTATAGACACCAGAACAACTACATTAAGCTGCAGTGGTTCTGGGGACTATAGTGTTTCTTTAATGTGAGGTAAATTAGAGATTAGTGCCACGAATAATATACTAGATTTCCTACTTACAACCAGATGAGGGTGATGATGGGCTCTAGCTGCAGTCTGGCTCCACTGGTCTGGTGTAGAACAGGCTCTCTGGAGGCTGTTTGTAACTGTGGTCACAAAAATCAATGTTCTGGGAGAACGGGAAGCAGCTCCATTTTTTGGGCGCCCTTTACACAGCTCAAGGTCTGGGTCCCAGGGTCCACCTTCATGTTCCACCAATTAGTTTGTTCACAGGGGGTGGAGTGTGTAGGGGATGTCCTGATGTGTGTAAGGAATGCATTGTGTGAATCTGTGTTTGTATGTGTAAGGGCTGCGAGGTGTGTTTGTGTATGTATGGGATGCATTGAGTATGTGTAAAGGGTGCATTGAGTGTGTGTAATGAATGCATTGTGTGTTTCTGTGTGTGTAAGGGATGCATTGCTTGTGTATGTGTGTCTGTGTGTGTAATGCATTGTGTGTTTTTCTGTGTGCAAGGGGTGCATTGTGTGTGATTGTGTGTGTGTGATGGAAGTCAATCTCCTCCCCCCCGTCAATTTCCTCCTCCCTCCAATTTCCTTCCCCCCCCTCTCCAATTACCTTCTTCTCCCCCCCTCTGCAATTTTCTTCTCCCCCCTCCAATTTCCTTCTCCCCCTCCTCCTTCTTCTCCTCCAGTTTGCTTCTCCCCTCTCCAATTCCCCTCCTTTCTTCTCCCCTCCAATTTTCTTTCTCCCCTCTCCAATCCAATTTGCCTCTCCACCCTCCAATTCCTTCTTCTCCCCCTCTCCAATTTCCTTCTCCCTCCCCCTTCCAATTTCCTTCTCCCCCCCCTCCTACCACTGTTGTATCGTGGCCGAGCTCTGTATGGTCTGCAGGTACAGGGAGCTTTTGTTTCCTGTACCCGGCCGGACTAAAAGGAAGTGCACACTGTGTGTGCACTTCCTTTTAGTCCGGCCAGGTATAGGAGACAGATGCTCCCTGTACCCGCGGACCATACAGAGCTCAGCCACGTTACAGTGAGGGAGTGACAGGAGGGCTATACACTATGGTTGTGGTGGATATTCAGCAGGTTGAGTGTCAATACAACTCATATGTACCCACTTCCTTCTATTCTGTCATCCACCATCTTGGTTTAGGCCTCCCTCCTTAGCAGGATACCAGAATATCGCTGAACAAAGCCAAGCATACATTGTTCATACAGGTACATTGCTCCTGCTTCCTTAAGCAAGGGTTAGTATAGGGAATCAACCATAGAGACGATTGGGTATGGCCATCTAGTTATTTCTCCAAGGCACTCTCTGCCATAAAGATTGAGGTCCTGCAAGGCCAACACCCATCCTCCACGAAAGAGGTGATATGCCCCACGGGCCAGAACATAGCTAGCCGCCTCGCTTGTTGCATAGTAAGGGCCTTACTTGTCACAACCTCTCCCTAATTAATGGACTTATTCCTTGTAAAGCCAGCAACCAGCAGGTTACCCCCTCGTGCCAACCATAGGTAGAGCCACTCAAGCCACTTGGCAACTAGTAGGGACTCACTTGTCACCAGTCAAACGTATTTTTGGCACTTTGGCACTAGCTAAATACCTGTATACATTCTCAGGCTAAAGTTCATGATTCCTATATATTTCAGTATATTTCACATATGGCGACATCTCCTAAAGGCCAGAGACCCAAGGTTGAGTAAAAAGTTATCCATCCCTGACTTTGTAATCGCCTTTGGGATTTACAGGGATGTACTATATATGACACACCATGACAGACCATGACACAGACAAACCCACACACACACCATGACACAGAAAGACACACACACATATACCATGACAAAGACAGACACACACCGTATGACGGACAGACACACACCCTATGACGGACAGACACACATCCCATGACGGACAGACACACACACCATGACAGACAGACACACACACACACACCATGACACAGACACACACACCATGACGGACAGACAGACACACACACACCATGACACAGACAGACACACACACCATGACACAGATAGACAGACACACACACCATGACAGACAGACACACACACCATGACACAGACAGACAGACAGAAACACACCCACACCATACAGACACACACCATGACACAGACAGACAAACACAACATGACACAGACAGACACAACATAACTGACAGACAAACTCACACTGACACACATTACTACTACCTGGGGTCTTGCAGTGCAGACGGCTGTCTGTGCTGGAGGCTGCTGGGGCACCTGTGCTGGTGGCCGCTGGGGGAGGTCTTCTGGCAGCCGCTGGGGAACTTGTACTGGCGGCCGCCTGGGGAGCTGCGCTTGCTCTGCTCTCCCGCCATCGCGCGCTGCTGAATGAGACCAGGGCTGGAATATGACGTCATATTCCGGCCCCGGTCTTATTTAGCTGCGCGCTGGGGAGCAGAGACAAGTCCCACAGCAGCCGCCAGAAGACCTCCCCCAGCGGCCGCCAGAAGACCTCCCACAGCGGCCGCCAGAAGACCTCCCCCAGCGGCCGCCAGCAGACCCAGGTGTCTGCCCGGCCCCAGGTGCCGACGGCCCACCGGGAAATTTCCCGGTATCCCGGTGGGCCAGTTCAGCCCTGCCCAGAAGCAGTAGCCCTGTCCAACATTGAGGCAGAAACAGTGGCTGATGCTCTGGTTAAGATCTTTTCTAGAGTGGGGTTCCCTAAGGAGATCCTCTCCGATCAAGGAACACAATTCACCGCTGTGCTCACCCAGCAGTTGTGGAAGGTGTGCAATATTAAGCCCTTGCTCAGCTAGCCCTACCATCCACAAACTAACGGTCTCTGTGAGCATTTTAATGGTACTCTCAAGCAGATGCTGAGGACCATTCCTGATGCTTGCAGGGACTGGGAGAGATTCCTGCCTCATCTGCTAGTTGCTTACAGAGAGGTACCCCAGGAATCAACTGGGTTCTCTCCCTTCAAGTTGCTCTATGGGAGGAGGGTCCGCCGACCCCTCGATCTCATCGGAGGTTCACTGGGAGGGAGAGATAGAGCAGGAAGGGACCCCCATAGTACCATACGTCCTGGAACTCCGGGACCGCATGGAGCAGCTGTCTCTGATGGTCAGAGAGATCTTCCAGGCGGCCCAGGGTAGACAGAAGAGATGGTATGATCAAGGGTGCCCGACAGTGCGTCTTCCAGGTGGGGAAAAAGGTCTTGATGCTTAAGCCTGTGAAGCACATCAAGATGCAAGCATCTTGGCAGGGGCCGTATAAAGTCGTGGCCCAGGTGTGTGAAACTACGTATATTATTGCCAGCTGTGCAGATGAAAGGATCCAGTGGTCCTTTCATGTGAACATGCTGAAGGAATACCAGGAAAGACAGGAGGATGTTGCTGCTGTATGTGCCCCTGCTACCGATGATTCCGAAAGCTTACCTCTCCCTGACTTATTAGAGAGGGACACCCAGACTGAACTGACGAGCCTGGTACAGCTAGGGGAACGGTTGAGCCCTTTGGAAAAGGAACAGCCTAAGTGGCTGCTATGGGAGAAAAGGGCAACCTTTTCTCAGGAACCGGGTTATACCACCCTAGCTGTGCACAAAGTTGAGACCCCCGGACAGGCACCCCTTAGACAACCACCCTACTGTATCCCTGAAGCAGTCCAAGAAGGAATGCGGAAGGAGATCCAGGAGATGACCCAACTAGGGGTCATTGAGCTCTCCGACAGCCCTTGAGCTTCGTCTGTAGTCCTGGTGCCTAAGAAAGATGGGACCACCCAGTTCTGTGTGGACTACAGGCATCTCAAAGACCACCACTGACGCCTACCCGATGCCCAGGGGAGATGAACTGCTAGACCGCATAGCCAGGGGGTGCTATCTGACTACCATAGACCTGTGTAAGGGCTATTGGCAGATTCCCCTGGCTGAGGATGCTATCCCCAAGTCAGAATTCGTCACCCCGTTTGGCCTGTACCAGTTTAAGGTCATGTCTTTCGGGATGAAGAATGCCCCGACTACCTTCTAGCGAATGGTGGATACGCTCCTTGATGGCTTCCAGGATTTTGCTTGTGCATACCTGGATGACATTGCGATCTACAGTGGGTCTTGGGAAGAGCACTTAATTCATGTAGGGGTGGTTCTGGATAAGATTCAGGCCGCTGGCCTGATGGCTGAGGTGCAGTATTTAGGACACAGGGTGGGGTGTTGAAACCAGAGACCAGAGCCAGCCAAGGTGGAGGCAGTAGCTAACTGGCCCACACCCCGCACCAAGATCCAGGTACTGGCATTCCTAGGGACGGCAAGGTATTACCGAAGTTTTGTCCCAGGCTATAGCACGATAGCCAAGCCCGTGACGTACCTGACCAAGAAGAATCTCCCTAAGCAGGTCCTGTGGTCTCCAGCTTGTGAAGCCGCGTTTAATGCCTTAAAGCAAGCCCTTGTGAATGCTCCCGTCTTGGCTGCCCCAGTACCTAATAAACGTTTTCTCGTCCATACAGACGATTCCATGTTTGGACAGGGGGCTGTGCTAAGCCAGGTCGGGGAGGATGGAGGAGAGCACCCTGTCGCATACCTGAGCAGGAAATTACTACCCCGCGAAGTGAGTTATGCAGCAGTAGAAAAAGAGTGCTTGACCCTGGTCTGGGCTCTTAAAAAGCTAACCCCCCTACTTATACGGAGAAGAATTCTCCTTGATTACAGACCACAACCCATTAGTATGGCTGAACCGGGTCACAGGGGACAACGGCAGGTTGCTATGGTGGAGCCTGACCCTGCAACCTTACAACTTTACTATCACCTACAGACCCGGTAAGCACATTGGTAATGCCGATGGGCAGGGCTGCCATCAGAAATTTTGGGGCCCCTGACACAGCTCAAGGTCTGGGCCCCACGGTGCCTGCACCCGAGTCCGTCCATCCTCCCCCCCCTCCTGAGTCCGCCCACAGGGATGCAGTGTCTGCAGGGCCGGTGCAAGGATTTTTGCCGCCCTAGGCAAAAGTAAAGTTTGCCGCCCCCCATGTGACATCACAATGCCCCACCCATATGATCTGCCATGTTAACTAACACAGTGCTGCCGTGTTTACAATAAAAGGCCTGCAGGGACAGGCTATAGACACCAGAACCACTACATTAAGCTGCAGTGGTTCTGGGGACTATAGTGTCACTTTAATGTGAGGTAAATTAAAGATTAGTGCCACGAATAATATACTAGATTGCCTACTTACAACCAGATGAGGATGATGATGGGCTCTAGCTGCCGTCTGGCTCCACTGGTCTGGTGTAGAACAGGCTCTCTGGAGGCGGTTTGTAACTGTGGTCACAAAAATCAATGTTGTGGGAGAACGGGAAGCAGCTCCATTCTTTTGAGGGCCCTTTACACAGCTCAAGGTCTGGGTCCCAGGGTCCACCTTTATGTTCCACCAATGAGTTTGTTCACAGGGGTGTGTGTGTGTGGGGGGGATGTCCTGATGTGTGTAAGGAATGCATTGTGTGAATCTGTGTTTGTATGTGTAAGAGCTGCAAGGTGAGTTTGTGTATGTATGGGATGCAGTGTGTGCGTCTGTAAGGGATGCACTGAGTGTGTGTTGGGATGCAAG